ACTTCTACTTCTACTACTACTACGAGCACTACCACCTCGACGATGACTGCTACAACTACTACTACTACTACTACTACTACTTCTACTACTACTACTACTACTACTACTACTATTACTACTACTACTACTACTACTACTACCACTACTACTACGACTACTACTACTACCACTACTACTACTACTACTACTACTACGACTACGACTACTACTACTACTACTACTACTACTACTACGACAACGGCTACTACTACTACTACTACTACTACTACTACTACTACTACGGCGATGACTACTGCTACTAATACGGCTACTATCTTGATTACTAGGACTACGACTACTACTGTTACCACAGCTACTCCTAGTACGCCTACTACTACTATCACGACTACTACTACTACTACGACAACTACGACAACTACTACTACTACTACTACTACTACTACTACTACTACTACCACTAGTAACACTACCATGACTATGCTTACTTATGCTTCTACAACTACTGCAACCACTACTACTACTACTACTACTACGACTACTACTACTACTACTACTGCTACTACTACTACGTATACCCCTGCTTCTACTACGACGACTACTACCATCACTACTACAAATGAGACTACTACTACGACTACTACTACTACTACTACTACTACTACTACTACTACTACTACTGCTACTGCTACTACTACTACTACGACTGCGGTTACTACTACTATTACTACAATACTACGATACTACTATTACTACTACTACTACTACCGCTACGACTACTACCACTACTGCTACGCACCACCTACGATCTACCATCGGCCACCGACTGTCTACTTCCTACCACGATTACTACTACAACGACTACTACTACTACTACTACTACTACTACTACTACTGCGACTACTACTACTACTACTACTGCTTATATACTACTACTACTACTACTACTGTTCTTATTACTACTACTATGCTACTACGACTACTACCACTACTACTACTACTACGACTACTACTACTACTACTGCCACTACTACTACTACTACTACTACTACTGATACTACTACTACTGATACTATACTACTACTACTACTACTATACTACTACTACTACTACTACTACTACTACTACTACTACGACGACTACTACTACTACTACTACTATTGGTGTTACCACAACTGCTGCTTAGACTACTACTGTGACGACTACCACCTCCACGACGACGGCTACACCTACTACTACTACTACTACTACTACTACGTATACCCCTGCTTCTACTACGACGACTACTACCATCATTACTACAAATGAGACTACTACTACTACTACTACTACTGCTACTACTACTGCTACTACTACTACTACTGCTACTACTACTACTACTACGACTGCGGTTACTACTACTATTACTACAATACTACGATACTACTATTACGACTACTACTACTACTACCGCTACGACTACTACCACTACTGCTACGCACCACCTACGATCTACCATCGGCCACCGACTGTCTACTTCCTACCACGATTACTACTACAACGACTCCTACTACTACTACTACTACTACTACTACTACTACTACTACTACTGCGACTACTACTACTACTACTACTACTACTACTACTAGGTTACTACTACTACTATACTAATAATAATACTACTACTACTACTACTTACTACTGTTAATTATTACACTACTACTGCTACTACGACTACTACGACTACTACGACTACTACTACTAACTACGCTACTACTACTTCCATACTACTACTACTATACTACTACTACTACTACGACTACTACTATACTACCACTACTACTACTTACTGCACTACTACTACTCTACTACTACTACTTACTACGACTACTACTATACCACAACGCTGCTTAGACTACACTGTGACGGCTACCACCTCCACGACGACATTTACACCTACTACTATACTACTACTAATAACTACTTACTGCCTACTATACTACTACTACTACTACCTACTACTACTACTTGTAACTAGTTACTGATACTCCTACTTACTACCCTACTACTGCCACCACTACTGCTACTACGAATCTACACTGTACACTACGACCGCCTTCTTCTACGCTTTACCTTATTCACTCCACCACTACTATTAATACTACACTACTACGGACGACTACTACTGTTACTACTACTACTACTACTACTACTACTACTACTACTACTACTACTACTACTACTACTACGACTACTACTACTACTACTACCGCTACTACTGCTGGCACTGCTAGTAGTACTACTTCTGCTACTGTTAAGACGACGGCGACTACTACTAATACGACCAGTCTTACTTCTACTCCTGCTCGTGCTCCTGCTCTTTCCCCTCCTCTCCCTACTACCACCAATCTTATGGTTACTACGACTACTACTACTACTACTACTACTACTACTACTACTACTACTACTACTACTACTACCAACACCACTACCACTACTACTACTACTACTACTACTACTACTACTACTACTACTGCTGCTACTACGAATACTACTACTACTAGTGCTACTACTACTACTACTACTACTACTACTACTACTACGCCTACTACTACGCCTGCTGCTACAACGGCGACGACGACGACTACGACTGCTCCTACTACTACGACGACTACTACAACTGCTATTACTAATACGTCTACTACTCCTACTCCTATCACTACGACGACTACGACTACTACTACTACTACTACTACAAATATTGATAATATGTTTTCTACTAATTCGACTACTACTACAATCACAACTACGACTACGACTACGACTCGACTACTACTACTACTACTAGTACTACTACTACTACTACTACGACTACGATTACTACTTCTACTACGTCTACGACTACGACTACTACTACTACTATCAATACGACTACTACGGCGACTACGCCTACTGATGCAACAGCAACGACGACGACTACTACTATTACTGCTACTACTACAAATACTCCGACTACTACCACTCCGACGACTACGACTACTACTATTACTCCCAATAATATTACTTTTGCGACTACTACGACTACTACTACAACTACAACTACGACTACGTCTACGACTACGACTACGACTACGACTACGACTACTACTACTACTACTACTACTACTACCACAACTACACCTACTGCTACTGCTACTATAACTACTACTACTACTACTACTACCACTACTACTACTACTAATACTACTACTACTACCACTACTACTACGACTGCTACTACAGATGCTACTACTACGACGACTACGCCTACTGATACAACAACAATGACGACAACGACTACTACGACTGCTACTACTACCTACTACTACTACTACCACTACTGCTACTACTACTCCTACTACTACTCCTACTAGTACTACGACGGCTACTACTGTTGGTACGTCTATTACTACTACTACTACTACTACTACTACTACTACTACTACTACGACTACGACTACGACTACGACTACGACTACGATTACGACTACGACTACTACGACTACGACTACTACTACTACTACTACTACTACTACTACTACTACTACTACGACTACCACTAATATTACGCCTACTGCTACAACGACGACGGCGCCTACGAGTGCTACTACTACAGCAACAACTACTACTACTACTACCACTACGACGGCTAAACACTACTATTACTACTACAAATACTACTACTAATAATAATTCTGCTGCTACTACTGCTGCTACGAGTACGACTACGACTACGACTACGACTACGACTACGACTACGACTACTACTACTACTACTACTACTACTACGACTACTACTACTACTACTGCTACTACTACTACTACTAGTATACTACTACTACTACCACTAATGACTAATACTACTATACTCCTACGACTACTATACTACTACACTACGGTAAAACTATACCACTAGACTCAGACATTGCACTAAACTACTACTTACTTACTAACTGACTTACATACGACTACTTACTATCTATACTATACTATACTGCTACTACTACTACTACTACTACTACGTCACTTCTACTCTAATTCTACTTCTACGTTTATACTCTTCTATTACTACTACTACTATACTACTTACTAATACTCTACTACGCCGACTACGCCTACTGAAACAAGAACGACGACGACGACGACTCCTACGAATGCTACTACTACTACTACTACTACTACTGCTGCTACTACTACTACTACTATTACTACTACTACTACTACTACTACTACTACTACTATTACTACTACTACTACTACTACTACTACTACTACTACTACTACTACTACTACTAATACTACTACTACTGTTGCTGCTGCTGCTGCGAGTACTACTACTACTACTACTACTACTACTACTACTACTACTACTACTACTACTACTACTACTACTACTACTACTACTACTACTACTAATAATACGTACTACTATACTACTGCAACGACACTACTACTACACTCGACACCATGGAGGGGACTACTACTACTACTACTACTCTACCTACTACACTACTACAAATACTACTACTACTACTACTACACTACTACTACTACTACGACTGCTTCTTTACTACTCTACTACTACTACTACTACTACGCGACGACTACTACTATGACTACGACTACGACTACGACTACTACTACTACTACTACTACTACTACTACTACTACTACTACTACTACTACTACTACTACTACTACTACTACTACTACTACTACTACTACTACTACTACTACTACTACTACCACTACCACTAATAATATACCACGACTGCTACCACCACGACTGCGATTACCACTACGACTGCGACTAGCACCACCGCCAAGACTAAGTAGCAGCGTCCTCCTTGTCCCGGCACCCCTCTACTTTCAGACCTTCCGCCTTGTTCATTCCATCTCCCCCCCCCGCCCCTGCGACGACCCCCCCGCCCCCCCAGGGGAGGAGCGGGGGCAAGGCGGCTGCCGTGAGAGGCAGGCCAAGGCGCTCCTGGCCCAGGCGGGATGAACTTGCCGTCCAAGGCATTCACGAGTCCTCCGCTCCAGGCGCATGAAGGTCCATGCCGCCCTCCTCCTCCTCCTCCTCCTCCTCCTCCTCCTCCGCCTTCTCCACCTCGTCCTCCTCGTATTCCTCTCCATCCTCCTCCTTCCTCCTCCTCGTCTACTCCTCTGCCTCCCCCAGTTCTTCCTCCTCCTCCTCATCATCATCCTCCTCTTCCTCTCCCTCCCCCTGCTCCACATCCACCTCCTCACCTTCCTCTTTGCCCCTCCTCCTTCTCATCCTCCCCCTCTCTGCCTCTCCTCTGTACGCTTTTCCTCCCCCTCCTCATCATCCTCCATGCTCCTCCTCAGGCATAAAAAAACTCAGCGCGGAATTCCAGAACTCTCGGCCCCATCTCTCGAGCCGTGGGCTGTCTGTTGAGGGTGGTCTGGTGGCCCGACATGGGCCTGCGGGCGGGCGCGCGGCTCGGGCCGTAAGCAGGACGTGGCGGAAGCCGGGGGCGACGTTCGGTCAATCTCCCTAACAGGATCCCGATGTTTCGCCGCGCAGCTCGTGCCCTAGCAATATATCAGCGGCGAGGATGATGCACGAATGGGTAGCACGGCTCGATGCATGACTTCCCGCTATACTTCAGAATCCACGCCCGCGCTGCGCGGGAGTCCAAACAGTCTCGGGCCCAAATGGCAACAGTGTAGAACATCATTATCCCAGTGCGACCCTACCTAGGAGTTGGAGCCCCTAGGAAAGCAGCATTCGTAGTAACAGTAAAGCTAAGCTAAAGCTAAGCTAAAACTAAGCTAAAGCTAAGCTAAATATAAGCTAAAGCTAAACTAAAGCTAAGCTAAAGCTAAGCTAAAGCTAAGCTGAAGCTAAGCTGAAACAAAACTAAAGCTAAGCTAAATCTAAGCTGAAGCTAAGCTGAAGTGAAGCTGAAGTTGAGCTAAAGCTAAGGTAATGCTAAGCTGAAGCTAAGCTGAAACTAAGCTGAATCTAAGCTAAAATCAAGCTAAAGCTAAGCTAGGGCTAAAGCTAAGCTAAAGCTAAGCTAAAGCTGAGCTAAAGCTAAGTTAAAGCTAAGCTAAAACTAAAGCTAAAGCTAAAGCTAAAGCTCCCAGGGGACTGGGGGAACCGCGGGGCGGGGACCGGGGGAACCGCGGGGGGCGCTTTCCACTGCCCGGCCCCTTGAAGCTAAGAGAGTAAGAACCCTTCTAGGCAGAGCCTAGGTAGGGAATAAAAGGAGAACGACAACAAATGTGTGCTGTGGACCTGCTGGCGGTGCTGTTGCTGCAGAGAACGGTGCCCCCGCACGTGCCCTCGCGGGGACGCTGGCCCGATTCGGCCAGAGCGCTCCTGGCAGACCCTTTCTCGCGGCACTTTCGCCCAGGTGGCCCGGCGCTCCAGAGGAGCAATTTGGCGTGGCTTAACGGGGGGGTCATAAATGGGGGGGTCAGAAACGGTCCCCTTTCGTGCCCCTTTCGGGCCCCTCCGGAGCCCCAGGGGGCTCGTTTAGGTACCGTTTGGGTACCTTTTCGGACCACTCTCGCCACCCCCCCATGTATGACCCCCCCATTACGCAACGCCCAAAGCAACCACGGAGCCGTTCCTCCGGCGGCCCCCCGCCTCGAAAACCTGTGGGATGGTCTGCCCTCTCTCTGGCGGGGTACATTTTACGCTCCCCCGCCGCCTCCAGGTCCTCCTCCTTCCCACCCCTCCAGGGAGCTCGTTGTTGCAGACAATCAGCTTGAGGCATTCCTGGAGGTACTCGAAAAGTGGCCTCGCGGCGACTCCCCCAATGTCCCCCGCGCCCGCAGCGGGAGGATGGAAGAGGAAGGGCAAGGGAGGAGAGACACGGTAGGTGCGGTCGCGCCATGTCTGACATCCTGCCCCCCCAGCCAATCCCTTCCCATTGTGCTGATTCTGCAGGAAGGAGGACCACAAGCAGGGAGCAGGAGTAGGCGGAGCAGGCGGACCAGAAGAAGATGGAGCAGCGGAAACGAAGGGGACGGCACCGACGAGGAAGGAATCAGATGCAAAAATGTGGCCAACGCAGTTGCGGAAATACTATTCTTGACTGACCGGCAGATCATGCCCCGATCGGACAAACTGAAAACAACTAGCCTTGGAAATCCTGTAAGCGTCTGGCATCACAGTCGCAAAAGAGCGGCGGTCACGATACAGATGTGTATACGTATGTACATATACACATATGTACACATGTGCATCTAATTTGTATATATATATATATATATGTGGTGCCTCGATAGGCGCGCAGGGAGGGGGATGAGGGCGGGGGGTGAGCTCGATGTCCTCAGACGTCGTTCAGCAAGGCGGGGCAATCGAGCAAGGGGAGGAGGGCCGTTGCCGTCTGAGAAGGCAGGGAGCCTTCTCCGAAGGAACGACGGCCCCCCTCGGAGAAGCTTCCATGACAGTTTCTGGAACAGCAGCAGTGCTTCTGACAGGCAGGGTGCCCTCTAGGACGAGGACAGCCGCTCCCCTCGCCCTGGCCCCGCCTCTGCGAGCCGCCGAGGCGAGGTAGAGCATCTAGTGCACGACTGAGCTTGGAGGTCGACTGAGAGATGCCAGACAAGGGCGCAAACACAATTAGGCGTGCATGCAATACCCTCTGGGCATTTCCAATTCCTAAGCAAGAGAAGGGCGGAAGAGTCAAGAACACACGCGTACACCAACTCGTATTCGTGCATAATGTGTTCAATCATGTGGGCCGGTGTCTGACCGCGTACGGAACCACGAAGAACAGGCTCGCTTTGGCACGCCCCAACATCTATGGGAACGAGGCCTGACAGGAATTGCTGCCCAAACTGGACTTGGGCAGACGCATACCGCTGAACCGACACGAGTTCGCCACGAAAACGATGGTGAAGACCGTGCAGAAGCACGAGCTGCAGGGGACCCGCGTCGGGTGCGGAGTGCGTCGAAAAGCAGCCGGCCCGCTGCCGAACCCTGTCGCCGCTGGCGTGCAGGGGCGACGGGGGGGATCAAAAAAGGACGGATGAACAGGGATCGAGTGTTGCTAGAAGTGCCCCTGACCCAAGGTGCCCCGAGGACTTCCAAGGAGGCCCTCACGGCCTCCGGAGCACCCCTCACGAGGCCCAGAGGGCCCCAGGGGCTGCAAGATTGAGCACAAAGCTGGGGGCACCTTTGGCCAGGGGCACCTTTTGCAACCCCCTTGACTAGGGGAACGAAAAATAACATACACATAAAAATTCGGAGGTCTGCGCGGAGTTCTTGGATCCGCGCTGGCGCCGGGGGCGGCGCTGGAGGCGCCGCCAGGGGGCCCCAGCGCCGACCCGAGAAATCCGCGCGGACCTCCCAACTATTCTGTTCATGTCATTGATCGTTCCCCTATTGTGATGGGAGGGCGAGGGGCGGGGGAGTCCCCGGCGACTCGAGGCAAGCCGTGCCGAGGCTGCTGGCGTTCCAAGCAGCGGCAGCGTCGGGGGCGGCTCCCGGGCCCCGCGGCCGTCGAGGCAGCGGCTCGGGCGGAGGAGCGGCCCCCAGGCGGGGGGGGTCTCGGGCTCCCCGGGGATGGCGGCTCGGGCACGGCGGAGCCGGCGGAGGGCCGGAGGGGGGGGGATGCAGGGCGAGCCGCGGCGAGGCTGCAGGGGGCGAGCCTCGCCACTCGACCGGGCAGCAGCGTGCCCCCCCCCCCCCCTCCGCCCTCCCCTCTCCTCTCCACCCTCCCTCCCCCTCCTCCTTCCTCACGCCTCCTGCTTCCTCCTCTCATTATTACTGCTATCCCCTTCCTGCACCCTCATCCGTCTCCCTCTCCCTTCTCGTACTCTCCTCCCTCCCCTTCGCATCTGATGTCGTCTGTCGTCCCTCCGCCTCCCTTTCTCCTTCTCCGTCCTATTCCTTCCCCCCCTCACCACGCTCTTCGCCTTCGCCTCCACCTCCTCTGTCCTCCGTCATCCCCCCCTCCTCCCTCCCCTCCCCCCTCCTCTCCTCCCTGCTCCAAACTCCCTCCTACTCTTCCCCGTCCGCCTCCGCTTCGCCGTGCGTCCTCCTCCTCCTCCTGGTTCCCCGTCGTCCTCCTCCAACACGGCCCTCTGGTGTTCTCAGAACCTCCCCGATGTACTTCACCCTCTCCTCAGCGCTTCGAGCAGGTCGAGGCTCCCGAGGAGCGCGATTCTTTATCATCGGCGATGACAGGCGTCATGGGGGGGGGGGAGGGGAACCCGGGGGAAGGTATGACGTAACGCCCCCCCCCGCCGTGCGGCTCCGGCACCACAGCCGAGCCCGCGCGCACGACGACGATGAGCGACGAGCGACGAGCGACGACGACGACGACGACGACGACGACGACGACGACGACGCGACCAGCATGCAGGTGGCGATCTGCCCCACAGCGCCTGTGTACACCACAGTGCTCGCGTGCACCACAGCGCTTGTGTACACCACAGCGCCTGCGTACACCGCCACAGCCGTGTGCAACGCAGCGCCTGTGTACACCACAGTGCTTGCGTGCACCACAGCGCCGGTGTACACCACAGCGAATGTGTACACCGCAGCAGCCGTGTGCAAAACAGCGACTGTCTACACCACAATGCTTACGTGCACCGCAGCGCCTGTGCACACCACAGCGCCTGTTTACACACCACAGCATCCGCGTGCAACGCAGGGCTGGTGTACACCAGAGCGGCTGCGTGCACAGGACAGGTAGACGGATCATGTCGGTGAGGATCTGGTGAGGACAGCTAAACGCCACGCTAGCGACATGCTGAGAATAGAATGCGACGTTTTTCCCTCCTCCCTCCTCAACTTCCGCCTCCTCCTCCTCCTCCTCCTCCTCCTCCTCCTCCTCCTCCTCCTCCTCCTCCTCCTCCTCCTCCTCCTCCCTCACCCTTCCCCCCTGTCGTGCGGGTCGGCATTACAGCGCACGTGCGCGTCTCAGCGTGCACCGCAGAATGGTCTATTCACTGGTGCCGTGCTGAGTACACGCAGGCATTGTGCTGTACACTGGTGCTGTGTTGCACACGGCTGATGTGGTGTACGCAAGCCATGTGGTGTACACAAGCGCTGTCGTACCAACAGGCACTGTGGCACACACTGGCGCTGTGATGCACGCGGCTGCTGTGGTGTACGTAGGCGGTGTGGTGTACACAAGCGCTGTGGTACACGCAGGCACTATGGTGTACACAGGCGCTGTGGGGCAGATCGCCACCTGCATGCTGCTGCTACCCATCCTCGGTGATTCCTAAGCATTCCCAGACGCCGCCGGCGCGAAACATTACGTCATCGGTCCCCTCCCCCCCCCAGATGATTGCCGTCATCGGCCCGGAATCAAAAAACTTGCTCCAGCTGCGTCCGCGCGCACGACGACGACGACAATGACGACGACCGCGGACCAGACTCATATGCGGGTTCCTATGCGGACACCTATGCGGATCACGATGCGCACGGCGGAAGTGCCCGAATCGCACTGGGGGAGGGGGAACGTTACGTCATAGGGGGGGGGAGGGCAGGGGGCCATGACGCCCGTCATGCCCCAAGCAATAAAAAAACCGGCTCGAGCAAATGCGGGGGCAGAAGAGGCTGCGGCGGACGCACAGATCCGCTCAGAAACGGTCCGTGGGCCCCTCCCCCCCCACCGAACGGTGAGGGCCCATCTTCCAAGCCGCGTCAAACTCTGGCGACGAGGTTGGGCCCACTGCCGAGAAGGGAAGGAGCAGGAGCATGGGGAAGAGCAGGCGAGCTCCGAAAGGATGGGCAAGGAGGAGGCCAATGGAATCAATCGGGCCTCCTTTTCCTCCTCCTTGGTCCCCTGCTACTCGAAATCCATGAATAATCGTCCCTGGGGTCTGGTGTTTAAGGCGTCTTTTGTGGAAGCGTGGGAGTCCTGTTTTTCTAGGGCGGCTTATCTAAACGGAAGACGAGGGGGGTCTGGAATATCAAGGGCCCCCCCGTTGACAGTGGGGGGTCCGAAAAATCAGGTTACCGCTGAAGGTAGAGGCCTCCTAGATGGGGTCGGAGTAGATGTGGTAAGAGGATCGCGCTGTATCGCCGATGCATCGGCAATGTATCGTCGATGCATCGGCGATGCACCAGCAGCGTCGGTGATGCACCGGCGACGTCGGCGTGGAGAACATCGGGCTCCAGGTCGAGCCGCATCGCCGATGCATCGTCGATGCGGCGCGATCCTCCGACCCCCCATCTACGAGACCTGGAGAAGGGGGGGTCCCGTTTTTCAGGGGGGGGCCGATGCTTAAGGGGTTTCGACTCCGCCGGCCAGGGCTGCAGGACGGCAGAGGGCCACGAAGAGGAGGAGGGGGGCGCGGAGGCGGAGGCTCGGCATGCTGCTCTTCCAGCGGAACCCCGATGATGGGCCTGTTTCCCACCACCACCACCACCACCATAAGCTGGAGGGGGGAAGGAGGCGGAGGATGAGGAGGAGGCAGAAGAGGAGGACGAGGAGGACCGCCTGCCCCTCCCGCTGAGGTATGGTGGTGGTGGTGGTGGACAACAAGCCCACCACCCGAAGTCAGTCGGGCGAGGATGGAGCAGCGGAGCGGCAGCAGGAGCTGCGGGCACCGGGGTGGAGGCAGGCGCGCGGCGCTGGCGGGGGGCCTCATGTCGTCCTCGCTGCAGTTGGGGAACCCCTGCTCCGCCACCGCCCGCTTCCAGGGCGCCCCGCCTGGTCGGCTCCCCGCCCGCACCGGACACCCATCTGCGACGCGAACCAGGACCGCGCCGGCCGGCCTCCTCGCGGCTCTGACGTCCGAGGGCCCCGTGCAGGGCCCCGGGGAAGACCCGCCGCGAAACGCCGGTCCCTGGGGTGGGGTCGAGACCTCAGGCTGCCCACGCCGTGAAACTGCTCCGTCCCCGTCGGCGTGTGAGAAGCGTTTTTCTGCTTGAGTCGTCGCTGCCGTCGCCGCTCCCCCCCTTTCCCCGGGCCCTCCTCCAAAAGCGATCCAGCCAGACGGAAATCAGGCGAAGTCGTCATTGATTCGAAGGGAAGACCCTTCCCTTTGATCCCTTCCGTGGCGGCGAGTGGGGTCGCGGGGGGGGTTCAGGGGGGGGCAGCGGGGGGGCGGTCCTGGGGGTCGTGACCTCCCCCCTGGGGGGTCCCGCCTGTGCACACGTGGCACAGGGGGGTGGTCCCCTCGTGGACTGGGGGGAACTCAGGACCCCTCCACCCGCCTCCCCCCTGTGGACGAGGGGACCACCATCACCCCCTGCTCCCCCCCTGGAGGCACCCTCCTCACCCGTATCCGTTGTTGCGGGGTGCTGCGTGTTTTCCTATATGCCCCAGGAGGCCTCAGATCTGCTCCGAGGCGGCTCCAAGTGGCCACGGAGCTTCCCAAGAAGTCCTCCAAGAGGCTCCCCAACAGAGCCCAACAGGCTCCCAAGAGTCCCAAGAAGGGCTCCAGAGCGTCAGGGATGTCGTCGTCGCCGCCACCGCCGTCGTCGTCCCCCTTCGGGGTCGGCGGCACTGGCAGTAAGGCCTTCTCAGGAGCAAGAAGTGAAAGTCTAGAGAGGACGTAGGAGAGGAGGAGGAGGAGGAGGAGGAGCAGCAGCAAGGGGGCTGACACCGAAACCACATAAGATGGAAAAGGCTCACACGTCCCGTGTCGGTCACTGGCGCTAACCAGCGGCAACAATTCTCCAGCCATAGACCAGAGGGTCGGGAGGTCACGGGTGACATCGGGGGATGAGCATGCTTAAAGGAGTGTTCGGAAGTTCTCTGGGGGTCAGGGCTTTCTTGGAGCTTCTGGGGGGCTCCTGGAGGACAGAGATCGCGGGAGCAGGATTGGTGTAGAAGTGCGTTAGGGTTATACGGCGAGGTAAGTTGGTATAGTGTATAGTGTATCTCAGCTCATGGGCATGGACTGACAATACCGATGCGTATACTGAATATGTTGGATGGCGCATCTCTAAGAAAGGTTCCACCGACCGTCTCAACTTCGTGTGACCAGCATGCGTATGGTAAAGCCACGCGCGAGTTATGCTTAGGATTTACTCGACTATACTTGCTTTATCCACGACGTATTCTTCTTCTGACTCGTGTTCCCGTTCACGTCCTTATTATTCAGTTCCCCTAGCAGTCCTTACTGATATACCCTCTTCCCTCCTTATCCTGGTTCGCCACGTGCTCCCTCTCGGTGTCTGCTGCTTCATCTTTTTTTTATTTCGGCATAACTCATCCCTGTCGAGCCCTCAGACGTGTCGGTGGGCGGGCAGGGCGCTTCGCTTGAGAACTGCCCACCACGCATGATCCCGAACATCAGATTCTCCGACGGCTTCAAGGATGAAGGGGGGAGGTTCGAAATGGGGCTCTCGGCTTGACATCGCGCACATTCGTCTTCAAAGCGTGACGCCTCTACACGGATGGAGCTCTGATGGTTTCGCGTCTCATAATGTGACTCTCGCCCTAGCGCTGCGCACATTCGTCGTCAAACATTGCGGTGGCTACACAGATAGGGGGGGTCGTTTTTAAAATGTGTCTCTCGCATCAGCGCCGAGCACATTCGCCTGCATCTACTGCAACGGCTTCAAGTGTTCAAGGCGAACCATTTTCGCAATGGGGCGATCACCGTCCGCCACGAAACTTCAATCACACGGATGGGAGGGCGGTCCATTGTCGAAACGGGGGGTATCGAGGGACGCCTCGGTGAACTATCAGAGCCTAGTCGTTAGCACACCCGACTACGAGGCAGAAAGATGAAGCACACTTATTGTTCCAAGCAGTGCCCTTTTTCCAAAATGGCAGGCTCATGCGGTGCTGGTTTTTCGAAGGGGCCGCTTATTTCAATCAAAAGAAATACTTGCCTGGACATATCAAGAAGGGACTTGAGACGGGAGGGTGTAGCGCAGCATCGCTGATGGTTTGGCGGGTGCCCCCCTTGTTCCACTGCATGTTCCCATACTTCCCTGATCAAGGCAACACACCTGGACATCGTTGCTGGATGGGCTGATGGAAAAGCGGAGCGTCAATCATGTGTTGCCATGAGGGAGAAGGGTCCTGAGGAGAAGGGGTCCTGGACCCCAAGTCTTGCCCCAGGACTGGCTCCTTGCCGGTTCATCCCGAACTGTTTTCTCACTGACCCACGGCTCGTGTCCGGGAAGGGCCACAGGTTGCCGAAAACAAAGACAAATCTCAGAAGTCGTTTCCCTCTTAAGGCCCCTGCCTTCATAACGGCAGAAGCCCTATGACAGAAAAGGCAAGATGTGTTCAGACACCGACAAGAGGCCCGCGCGGGACCCCACTGCAAAGGCCAACGACACCCCCGCGGGATTCTGTAGACCCCACCATAAGACCGCCCGCTCCCTCGCTTTTCCCGATGTCATCCCGCCGCTCCACCTCCCGCGTCCCCGCTCCCGCCCCGCCATCACCCTGCTCGCCCCCCCCCCACCCGTTACCCCTCCTGTACCCCACCCCCCACTCCCCGTCACACCCGAAACCCGCCCTCCCCCCTCCCCAGTACCCGCTCCTCCCGCCGTCCACACCTTTCCCTCCCCGTCCCCAGGTTAGCTTGAGGGAGCCGTTTCGGCTCAAGCCTCCATCTGCCCTGCTCATCAGCACGCAACGATCAGTGCTAGGCTGGATAAGCCTAAGCAACAGAAAAGGGCCCCTTCCCTCCGTTGCACTGCCATTCCCCACCCGCTGCCTGACGCCCGTTGTGTGCTCTTACTTGACCTTCCCCCCCACGCCAGAGAGATCTGGCTTTCCTTTTGGGGGGGCTGCCCTGCTGTTCGCAGGCATAGAACACCTTCAATTCGACCATCCAGGCAATTACCCAATGTATGCTGTCGTGCCGATGCCGTAGGAATGGTCCGCCAACGTCTCTGTGCGATGTGCTATAACGATTAGACACACGGTCTGCACATCGCCAGCACGACTGCCCCACATCGAACTCTGCGCACAGCAGTGTGTTGCATACGTTGTCAACGCACCCCGCCACAAACAAATCAGCGTGTGCTGATCGATCCGAAACGCCCGAAATGCACATTGAGAAAATGTGGGTCACTGGCATAATATTCACGCGCAAGAAATGCGCCCATTACGGCGTGACCGAAACGTTCTCGTCCCTTTTAATATGAGGAGAGAGCGATGAAGAGGACGAGCAGGGGGATTCAGAGAAAGCTAAGGCCGACATATGCTTAATATACGAAGAACCCGATCCAGATGATGACGACCGCAAAGACGAGAGGTCGCGCACGCCAAATATCATGTGCAAACGTTACGTGCGATGTGAGAGGGCCGCCGGGTGACGCTTGGCCCAGCGTGTGTGAACACCCTCCCCCGTCTAGTGCGGCTGCCCGTACCCTTTTTCAAGCGCGAGCCTGTAAACATGAAGCTGAGGTTCTGCATGAAATTGTTGACCTCCTGAACGCGGCCCTCCTCGTTGGTGGACTCCTTTGGTGGCGAGGGAATCTCGCAATGCAAAAGACTGGGGTTGACCCAGAGCATGTGCGGTCACTCAGGGGAGTGGAAGCACAAAGGCTCGGTTCAACACGAAGACGCAAGGATAAAACGCCAGGGGGTCACACCAGGACCACGCACTTGCTAGTATAAGAACTTCAGGAATACACACTGAAACATGGCCACCAGACTTGGCCATCGGCCTCGCCTGTGGCGGCTAACGCAAGAAGAGGGGAGGATGGGGAAGAGGATGAACAGGCGAAGGAGAAGGACGAGGAAGCGAACGTGCAATATGAGAACTTGGAGGAGTCGAGATGGAGGGAAAATGATTTCGTTGTGGAAACGGCGACCCCGTCGCCCTAGCCCACCGCCAACCTAACGATACGCCTCGTATGAGTCAGGTCGATCGTCTTTTCTGGTTCGCCCGCGGCGGCACAGGAAGGGGGACAATTGAGAACAAGACGGGGATTGGCCGCGTCGATACAACTGGGTCGCAGCAAGAGCAACACAACCCCCTCCCCCACCGACCCCCCGACCCCCGCGTCCACCCTCTGTCACCAGCCCACCGCAGCCACCCTCCCTGTCCTCTTCCTCACTGGTCCAACTGTCATGGAAGGCCCCTGTCACCAAGTGAAGAAGGCCACCGTCCCGTCCTCCACTCCCGTCCATTGTCCCCTTTCCTACATTTGTTATACCCCTAAACAACTCAATACACATTATGGAAGCCGGAAGCCATTATCGTTCGCCACTGGCGTCAGCGATCACCCCCGTTCTCTGTAGTGTTGTTAAAAATGCCTCTGCCTCTCCCTGTCTTGTTCTCTCTCTCTCTCTCTCGCTCCTACGTATGTCCCATCGGAGGGCAAACCTAAAACGTTTTGACACGCTGCTACGAAGCGCTAGATAACACATGTTCAATATGCCCCACAATAGTCTGACAGACGTTTGACGACGTGCATGAGTAATGCGCTCATGTCTGAAGATTGACGATTGGAATTCTCAGCGGACCGACCAGCTTTCTTCAAACAGGCGATTGGCATCAACCTTCGTTTGGAGATCGAATAGTGACGATCACGGCACACTTGCGCCCAACATGTTTTAAACAGCGGTTGGCAATATGTTCGACAATCGTCGGCATAGCCCCTGCAATCTTCAATGTTCAATATGCAACCCGAGGATATGTTCTTTAAATTGGCTGCCAGCGTCTACATCTGGAATGTATTCTGACATTTCTATGTATCCAAAGCTCCCCTTCCTCCTCCTCCTCCTCCTCCTCCTCCTCCTCCTCTTCCATCTCCTCCTCATCATCCCCTCCTTCTCCCTCTTTACTCGCCCCCATACTTCTCATTCTCCCGACGGCCTGACGCGCTGGGCGACGATGGGAAGAAAAACAAAAACAACAAAAACGAGGACGAGGAGGAGAAGGAGGTGAACGCGGATAAGGAAAGGGAAAAACAGCAACAACACATACGATTATGAGGAGGAGCATACGAGCACGCGGTCAAGCAAATCCTGGGCATGTTCCCGTTCGGGGCGCGTTTGACGAATGCTGGGCATATGGGCTCGGTAAATCCGCCGGCCCCCTTGTGGGGCAACCAGACTGCGAGGCGCGTGATTCGCAGTTTCCTGTACCAGTTGTAGTTTGTAGTTTCCAGTGTTACAGTGTTGCTTCTTGCTGGTTACTGTAACTAGTTGACTTCTTGCTGGTTACTGTAACTAGTTGATTGACCGCGCGAGGGGGGGGAGGCCCAAACGGGATTTTTAGCGTCTCCTGGGCGCGTTGTCTGAATTGCTGGGGGGGCTCGAAATCGACACCCCTCACGCAGATCCGCGGGGTCAGGGTCCAAAAACACATGGGATTTGCCACATTTCTGAAATTCGGTGCCACCCCTCACGCAGATCCGCGGGGTCAGGGTCCAAAAACACATGGGATTTGCCACATTTCTGAAATTCGGTGCCACCCCTCACGCAGATCCGCGGGGTCAGGGTCCAAAAACACATGGGATTTGCCACATTTCTGAAATTCGGTGCCACCCCTCACGCAGATCCGCGGGGTCAGGGTCCAAAAACACATGGGATTTGCCACATTTCTGAAATTCGGTGCCACCCCTCACGCAGATCCGCGGGGTCAGGGTCCAAAAACACATGGGATTTGCCACATTTCTGAAATTCGGTGCCACCCCTCACGCAGATCCGCGGGGTCAGGGTCCAAAAACACAAGGGATTTGCCACATTTCTGAAATTCGGTGCCACCCCTCACGCACGCAGATCCGCGGGGTCAGGGTCCAAAAACACAGGGATTTGCCACATTTCTGAAATTCGAACCCATCACGCACATCCATCGCAAGCAAGTGGTAACCCAAACTGCGAGAACTCCCTCGGCCCTTTCATCGCAAGGTGTGGTAACCAAGCCCTTAAACCATACACGTCTTACCAATCGCCAGGTGTGGTAACCCCTCTTGTGATCAGTTGGTTTTGCTGATTGCGACTCGGCTTCGCATGAAGTTTCGATACTGCTTCATGACAGCGCCAAGGCCTCATGACTTAGCTCTTCCATGGCCCGTTCTCCGAGAGAGGGGGCCGGCGGCAGGGGGCGAAGCCCTTACGGATCATGACATCTGAAATATTCAATAGTCAAACATATGGGAGATATGTTCTGGAACTGTTGAAACCAGCGTTTCAAAACGTTTGAAACACCCCTTTCCTATTTCAATTTCTCCCATCCTCTCTCATCCTCCCGTTTGCCTTCTGGAGCAAGGAGCCAGGTGGAGGATGTGCAATGTGATTGAGAAACAGGCGCACCCGCAGTAGCAGGCAGGATAAGGAGGGAGAGGAAGAGGAGCAGGATCAGGAAGACATCCTTGGCAACGCCGTCAACTGCATATTGAAAGACTTCCGGCAATACGAGTGAACTCTTCAAAGAATCTGCCGACGGGTACTTGCCTTCCGTAAACATTTGGCTCATGAACTAAACTTGCACGCCGATCGCTAGCTCCGAACCATTGCGTCCTATTCGTCGCGGACCAGCCCAAGTCGCTGGCGAGCGCGCGAGCCTGAAGCTGCAGAATGCATTGCGCAATCAGCGATCAACGCGAGCAGCTCCTCCAGACCCCCACTGCGGACGCAGCGCGCGCCGGGGTGGCCTCGGAAGCTGTCGTCGCGCACGTTTCTCGCCTGCCGCCTGCCGCTGCCGAACCACGACGTGCACCAGGTCATTGGCAACGTTCAGGGAAGGTTGAGCGCGTCCGCGGGCAGCGCGGCGAATGGTCCAACCAGGCGCGGCCGCGCCTTCGAAGCTCCTTCGCGCCCCGAGCGCGGGCGCCAGCTGGCGCCGCCGCCGCCGCCAGCGCCGCTGGCGCCCCCGGCGCCCCCGCAGGACAACGAGGCGCCGCAGGTCAACGACGAGCAGAGCAGCGACGCGCCCTCCGACAGCGACGGGGACGAGGGCGGCGGCGCGGCGCCAGAAACCGCCCCGGACCAGAAGAGCGAAGCGCCGCCTGACGACGACGAAGGCGAGGACAGCGAGGCGCCGCCAGACGCCGACCACGAGGCAAAGAGCGCGGCGCCGCCTAACGACGACGCGGACCAGGAGTGCGAGGCGCCGCCCGAAGACGACGAGGACGAGTAGAGCGGGGCGCCACGAAGCGAGGACAGGGACCTCAAAGCGAAGCTGCAGACAGCAAACTTGCTCAAGAGCGCACTTCGCCTGGAAAGCCGGCCACTCCAGGAGAACGAACGGCCCCTGGCGAGCCAGGAAAAGCGGCGGGCGTTCAACGAGCAACTCCTGGGAAGCCGACAGGAGTGGGCGAAGGGGTTCGACCGCTTGGAGCGGGAAAACAAGCGCCTCGAGCTCGAGGTCCAGAAGTTGGAGAACGCCCGGGTCTGTGCTCGGCGCGGCGCTGCGCTGTGCCCTTCGACGCGTCTTACAAGATGGTGCGCGCTGCCTTTGGGTGCGCGTCAGAAGCCCACGCCACGGCCATATCGAAGGTGCGTCGTGGCGGTGCGCGGCAAGCACGGCGCGTGCCTGAGGCTGCCCGACATTTGCGAGGACGCCCCTGCGTTCCGCATCACGGAGGGCGAGATTGCAAACGGTTAGTTGCAAGCCACCAGCAGATCACGTCTAAACAGATTCAAGAGGGGGCCCACATGCTGCACTGAGCCCAGACATCATGGCCCGCAACGAGCAGGAGCAGAACATGATCAACGCTGCCATCGCGAAGTATCTCGCGCACATGCAGCCCTCCACGCACGCGAAGCTCGCGCGCCACTCCCAATCGAGCCCCAACGCCATGTTTGGCAACTTCATTCCTTCCACGCTAGCGTCGAAGGATCCGACGCCACGAATGCGGGCGCACCCTGCTGCGGAAACCAGCGCGAAGCGGAACAGGTGAGCAAGTTCGCCCTGGACTTCAGTGCGCCGCCCGTTCGGCGCAAGCTGTCCTGGAAGACGCCGCCCCCCCTGCTGGCCCCGCCCAAGCAGGCCTGCGAGGGGGTGCCGTGCCAGTGGGGGCAGCGGGGCACCCGCCGTGCCGCGTGTTTCTGCCAACGTAAGCAAAACCCAGGAGACAACCCAAGGAGGGCCTGAGCGACGCTGCGCGTCGGCCTTGGGTGGACGCCATGTCGCGAAACCACCGACAAGAACGGCTAACACGATATCATCATCATCATCATCATCATCATCATCATCATCATCATCATCATCATCATCATCATCATCATCATCAGCATCATCATCAGCAGCATCAGCAGCAGCATCATAATCATCATCAGCATCATCATCATCATCATGATGATCATCGTCATCATCATCATCACCATCATCATCATCAGCATCCTCATCATCATCATCATCATCATCATCATCATCCTCATCATCATCAGCATCATCATCATCATCAGCACCATCATCATCAGCATCACAATCATCATCATCATCATCGTCATCATCACCATCATCATCACCATCATCACCATCAGCATCATCATCACCATCACCA